ACATCTTTCTCCCTCTCATGCCTTCACACCCTCGACACTCATATCGTCACTTCCTCCCGTCGTGACTGGGCGGGGAGTGATGTGGCGTCTCACATCTCTCGTGCTTCGGACTCTACTCGCCAGGTGGCCGGGCCCGTAATAGTTCGCTCCCGTCAAGCGGTGAAATTCCCGCACGATTAGTATATAAGCAAGATCGAGTCAATCTGAGCCCACACCTCTCCTGTGTCTAAGGCAGGGAGCACGTCATCAGCCTTACTGATGAGTCCTGGCGTGCTCTCGGGACGAAACACCTTTTTCTCTTATAGACGACCTCTTCGATTTCTATAGTGGTGACCCCGACAACAAACAAGCAAAACGCAACCTTCTGATACTCTCACGCATCTCCGCATCCTCCACGCCGGGTTCACGCTAACGCAGCTAAGCCCACACCAGTCCGAGCTCGACCCTCGCATGAGCCGCATCCGCGCACGCTCACGCTCGCAGCCTTCGCTGCCGTCACAGCTCTCGACACTTCGCTCAACGACGCACATAGTTCCGCACATCGCACAACTCGTGCACGCACCGGCAACACGCCCCGCATCTCTCGCAACAGAGCGTGGAAGACCCGGAGATCCAACGAGACTTCTCAACATCTTTCTCCCTCTCATGCCTTCACACCCTCGACACTCATATCGTCACTTCCTCCCGTCGTGACTGGGCGGGGAGTGATGTGGCGTCTCACATCTCTCGTGCTTCGGACTCTACTCGCCAGGTGGCCGGGCCCGTAATAGTTCGCTCCCGTCAAGCGGTGAAATTCCCGCACGATTAGTATATAAGCAAGATCGAGTCAATCTGAGCCCACACCTCTCCTGTGTCTAAGGCAGGGAGCACGTCATCAGCCTTACTGATGAGTCCTGGCGTGCTCCCGGGACGAAACATCAAACCACCTTTTTCTCTCTTATAGACGACCTCTTCGATTTCTATATATGTAGGCGCGTCAGGGGGCGTGCGTGATGTACTCGTTAGCTCGAGTAGAAATTGAAAGTGTGCGAAAACTGGGCCCAAGCTTGGCTGCCACGCCGCCCATCTTGGCCGCAGCTTGGCACCTGACAATTGGCCTCCAGTGAGTTTGTAATACGGTGTTGACTTGGGCGCGGCTTGGACGCAAACAAATTTTATTTATCTTAGGGTTATATTTTTTTAAGTGTACGTGATCAACAATGCCGTGATGAAAAATTTTCATAAAAAAATTAAATATGATTCGTTTGAAATGAAGCATAACTTTTGTTTAATTATAATACAATGTGTATTCTCGTATGTACATTTCTATATTTATCGATTGAAAAGTGATTATATTACGTCAATGGAGGCATCCTACTTAGGGCTTACCAAACCCCCCTGCCGCTGCCAACGTAGGACCTCAGTAGGCTAGAGAGGCAGCCTAAGTAGGCCCTACTGATTGCCTATACTTATAATTTCTGTTCGGGATAGAGGTTGCTCGTTGCTATTTCTGACACACACACACACATTTACATTATGTATAATTTAATAAGCATTTAACAAATGTAAATTATCAAAAAGTATTTTTATTTATAAATGTTAGCATGAAATAGTGTTTATAATATTTTAAAATAGCAGTCTCGTCTTAAAAAATACATTACAAACTTGTTGGAAAATAACCTGTAATTGGAAAAGGTATTAGTTCTGATTTTATTTTGTTTATAGTAAATAAAAAACAGCACTGGCATGTCAATTTTTATAATAATTATCGCTATTTTTCGAGTAAATTTTAATTCCATGTGCAGACATAGCATTTTTGCTGAGATCCCTACAATTAACAATTTGCAAACTTAGCCCCAGATGGCGTGCTATAGCTACGAGAAAAATGGCGTCCTATTGACAAAAATGTGAACTATTCGTGATCTGATGTCAGCGTGACGGATATGTTGTCACATAAGTGAGTCCACATTATCGTATATTATTGTCGCTTACAGTAAAAGTGCGTCAGTGACGCTATTTTTGTTTCAACTACAGTACGCCACCTATGCTTAGTTTGTTGAACGTAAGGACTTCACTTTCATTAGTTTCGAAGTAAATTATTTATCAATACTAAAAAGTGTTACTTTGGCAAAATTGTATACGTTTAAAAAAAGGAAATGAAAATATAATCCAAGACATCGTACACTTTTATTTACTATAGACTTAACACACTATTATATTTAACTTTCGTTCAGTAATCACTTAGTCATTACACGATTTTTAAGTAAAAATTGCTGTTGCAAACTGGAATGATTCCTTCACTCTTATTACTAACTTAGATGACAATGAAGTATTTTGAATAACGAAATGCCATTATGCAGGAATAAACAAAAACTACTTTTTAACATCATTTTTACCGTGATTTGGTTTCGATTACCAATTTAAAAAAAGTTTAAGTTCAGCTTTTTTTTCTAAACGAGTTGATCTCAAAAGATTATTGCAACTAATTCTCACATTATTAAGTCTCTGATAAGACACATACCAAGTTATAAAATAAGTTCATCAAATGCACATAGACACCCTCACAGCGTGTACTCTCATGCTTATCGAGTAGAAAAAAAAGGAATCATTTACTTTTTACAATTCATCTTGAGCAGCTTTAATGGGTTTGCCACTGCGGTCCCATCCCTTCAGCGGATTGGTGGCGTGTTTGGCAATATACTTGATGAAATCGTCAAGTTCTCGTCCACCTTCATATCTGATAGGACTGGCCTTTGAGTCTTTGGGAACCCAGTACAATGTGGGGAATCCTCTCAAATCATAAGGCGGAGGTACGTCATTGGCTGTGGCGTCACATTTAACGATTTCTATGTCTTCGTTAGCAAGTTTTTCACCTAATGAAAAATAAAGCAAAAAGTTTCTATAATTGTTGTTGATTTAATTTTAGTTTAATACTATGTATATTTTCAATTTATCTTGTACAAGAAATTTAAATCTCAAAAAAAAATCTAATTTACCCAATTCATCGTAGACAGGTGCAAGCTTCTTACAATATCCACACCATGGAGCATAGAATTCAATAAGAGTATCTTTGCCGTTGTTAATTACAACGTCATCAAAGTTTTTAGCTACTGCGACTTTAACATTGGAAGAATTATCTTCTGGGATTGGTTCAGACTTTATGTAAGGTTCCAAAGAACCAGCCTGCAAATCATTCATGAACTTCGTCAAGCTTTCAATACTGAAATCACCTTCAAGAACAAATTTTTGGTTTTGTTCATCACGAGCAAGAACCACGGGCTTGTCGCTCTTGCTGTAGTCGATACCGAATTCATTTAACTCTTGCTGGAAATGGTCTTTTGGTGATATGGCAAAGTTAAACTCATTTTCGAACTCTTTGGCAACTTTGATAATCCGATTACGCCAATAGTTTGTAATCTTAGGGTTCTTAACGTAATCAACATCGTAAAAGGCAACTACTAGCGGTTTCCTAAAATCGTCAATATTATCAGGCGTGCGAACGCCAACGATGCCATGGCTGAAAAATAAATACAAATAAGTTATTATGGCAGTTCACAACATTTAAATTTACAAACTTTTAGGAATTATTGCGATTAATTTAGCTTTAGTTTCAGCGGAGTAAAAAATGATTTTTTCTTTTATTACACTTGTGCAGATACGGGTAACTTCTAACAAGTGTAAAAAATGAAAAAATCATCAATGTCGTTATTCATAAGATGAGAAATTGATCTAATGTACATACTATTTCATTACTATGGAAATCCTGATACAAAATTTTTATTATTGATATCAATATCAATTTATATAAAAGTCAGATTTTTATTTAACAAAATGTTGTCTAATAACCATATTAAGAAATTTACAACGTTCATTGTAGAAATATCTTTGATTCAATAAATTGATTGTAGTAGAATCACCAATACTTACAAATTATGTTTGATACATTTCTTGATTTCTTCTACTCCATTACCATCACATGTTACTTTGTTATCTTCAAATTTGTTGTGTAATGATTTAGGCCGATATAGAACGATTGTGTTCCTACAAGATATGTTGCCATCAATAAGTTTAAATGATGGGTTGAAAACATTCAATAAAAACAAGTTTTATATTTAAAAAGAATTTAAACATCTAAGGGTACTTACTTATAATTCTCTGATTCAGAAACTTCTTTAGAAAAAGTATGGGCAAACGTTGCTTTTTCTCTCAGTTGGTTGGCTACAGATTGGAAAGTTTTGAATAAGGGAAAACTTTGGTCTTCAAAGAAACCAACTATATTTACAACATTTGGATCATTAAATAGGCTATTAAAATCTTCGCTGGAGAAAATTTCCTTGGAAGCAGGTCCAACTTGGCTCTACAAAAAAATGACAAAATCATAAGTTTGTTGAATAATCATCTAACACCTGAAATTCTATTTAATCAAGATGAATTATTATTACTGCCGGAAAAATAAAAAAATTAGAGAAAATTCTTATTTATATTAACGTGAATGTAAGTTATTGGCCAGGTGCATGTCGTTGGAGGAAAAGGCTGGAGCCACTAGTCATTTTAATACGCAGTTTTATGGAAATAGGGGCCCAAGTTTCCTAGTGGCGGCCACCGAACTAATTTTTCCTCCATAAGAATTTACGTGGGCTTGGGGACCTAGGTGAGGACAGTACACTCAAATAGAAGATCATGACAAGTGTTGCAAGACAGTCATTTAAAAATTGTTAGAAGTACTGCCATGGTAAAAGTATTACATGAACGATCCAAGCCGTTCTAGTAAAGACGTTCAAGACGTGCAAGGTATTTTCTAAATAAAATGATCAACTTTTTTTAAACAATCTAGTCAAAAAATTATTTTCTTAATTGTTTCTAGTAAAGACGTTCAAGACGTGCAAGGTATTTTTTAAATAAAATGATCAACTTTTTAAAAACAATCTAGTCAAAAAATCCTTTTCTTAATTGTTATTTCACAATCAAAAAACCGGTATAAGAATGAGAAATGAAAATCTGAAGCCTTAGATCATAAAAATCTATCAACGGGATTTTAAGATGACAGATTATCTTATTTTTCCAATTAATATAAGTGTTTCGTTCATATAAATAAAACTCAATTAATTAGGATGACTTATAAAGAAAAATTGAGCAATTACTAAGTCAAATTTTTCTCACTTACACAATACACCCTTTAAGAAGTTAAGTAGTTCACTCTAGTCCGAATAATATAAATTAGTACAACAACGATTTAATATAAGTATTAGTGATGAAAACATGGTTGATAATCGTGTTAGAGACATTAGGGGTAAGTGTACCTATCTCCGTGCTCTGCCCTATTACCGTGGATTTTGAAAAACTGATGATTACTTGCTCAAAATAAGAAATGTTTCATATAAAATAATTTTTCAATTTTAATAATCTAAAATGNTTTTTTTTTTTCAAGACTTGTTTATCATTTATAAATACAGTTTTTAGTCTGTGTCCCGAATTAGCTTAAGAATTTGAAGTGTCCCGAATTACCTGAATTTACCTTATCAGCATTACCCAGAATGCACTGCAAAGAGGTTACCCGCTGAGCATCCCATGTGTAATGTACTTTTTTTTTATTAATTCCACACATATATGTTTGGCTACTCTACTATTGGTACTTCGTGAGATTTTGTTATTTTTTACAACGCGAACGAGCGAGAAAAGCTTGCAATGGAGTCATTATTGATATTTTTTTTTTAACGGGTTACCGTGGGCTTACAGCCAGGCCCAAAGACGTGTCTTGTGGGGCAAGGAAAAACCTTGGAATTAATTACTCTAAAAAAAATTTCACAGAAAAACCGCCCCGAAACAGCCGGGGTCACAAAGGAACTTTTTTCGATGAAAACAGTTTTTGAAAAAATCTGCATTCACCGGGAATCAAACCCACGATCCCTAGAACAACGTTGTATCAGTAACAAGCACGCTTATCACTGAGCCAACGCCACTCCTTCATTACTTACTGATAATATTATGTAAGTTCTTGTTTGTACAGGCTATCGATATACTGTTGAAGTAGTCCTAATAACCTTTACATGAATATCGTATAAGCTACAAAGCCGATAAGAATAGATAATATACTTTGATATGTGTTAGTGCATCGGGAAATGATAGTAAAATTGAATTAAATTCCATTATTTTTAAATTAATAAACAATACGACTTTATAAATTTTTTTGTAATTAAGCCTTTGCGGGACATATGTACGCCAGATTTCAGCTTATTCTGGACACCTGACATATGTAATTTCTAATGGCATTTACCATACCAAAACCCTCTATGGAATTACATGTGTAATGCCATATGTAATGCCATATGGCTTTTCCGAAGTTATTACACAAGTAATTACACGTAGAATTACATCTTGTTTTTTTCAGAAGGGCACTAGAAGGCATTTTCGCAAAAAAACATCGATTTGACATATTCTAGCGAAAAAATAGTTTTTTAGGTGAAAAATGGCCCAAATTCCACTGTAAAGTGCTCTATTTTAAAATTTGGACCTTAGATTCATGATCAGCGACCAAAAATACCTATTGGAAGGCATTTCTGAGGAAAAATATTGCTTTTATAAATTTTTTTACATTTGGGCTGGTTTGGGGGGGTTTCGACTACCACCCCTCCCTTGATTTTGCATGCGGGACCGGGGTCAGTGCCGATAAATGTTCCTGAAGGTCTAAGGAACACGTAAAAACTAAAATTTTTAAAATCGGTGCTGTTTTCTAGGTTTTCCACATTTTACAGTGATTTCCGGCTTATATACTGGGCTAAGGCATATTATGAATGAGTTGGATTAGAAAATCAAAAACTAGAAGGTTGGCGTACGGAGCACGCAGAGTAGCAAAGCCAATTTATGTATATCAATAAGACAAAAATTTTGAAGCATGATTTCTTAAATCTTATTGTTATTTAGTGTAACATAACAGAAACATACTTAAAAGGTCGTGACATCAGAACATAACTTTAAAATAACCATAAAACCTCGAGCTCTTTGACAATTTTCCGGCACAACTAGATGAAAGGCTGGTTTTCTCTTATTTACATTTGAGTATATTACTCATAAAAGGCCAAAAATCCAGAACTTTCCCTTTAAATCTATTAAATGTTAGTTGTAAAAGCATTTTAAAAGTGCAAACATTAAAAAAAAATTGTTGTTCGTACATTTTTGTTATTTAAAGGAGTTGGGTCACTTCCGTGGGTAGGTAAAGGAAAGCATGTGTACTAATTAGTGATTATTTGATTTGATTTGATTAAATATTGTTATTGTGTATTATTACATTGTTATATTCCCATGAAGCCATACGTGGTTGTACCCCATGGCTTAAATGAAGACTTATACTATACTATACTATGTCTACAAGGCGCCGTGACAAAGTCTGCTGCACTAACATATCCCAAACACATCCGCTCTTCTTATTGAAAACGCATTTGTGTTTAGCTGACCAGTACTAGTTTATGTTTAAACAATATATTGTCAAAAAAATTAATAAATGTTCTTCAAGGTTTAATGTTTTTATGGGGTTAATTAAATAGCTTAAAAACATTTTATTTGAAAGATAAATAATAAGGAGTTAACTGCATAGTCAATCTGATCTTTTTTTGATAAAAGTGTGCTATCAATTTTAAAAATTAAAGATTTAAGTGATATATCATCAAAGTACAAAGCTTTATTAAGGCCTACACTAAGTTTTAGAACATAATTTCAAGTAGAATGGCGTCTAGAAGTAATTTTGTAATAATCCATCGTGCCATGTAAGAAATTTAGCTAATGGCAGATAGTGTACTTAGTGCATCCTAGTCTC